TAATCTTAAAATGAAAATTACTTTGCATGTTGGATAGGTAACATGCAATAAGAAAAAAGCACATGAAAACATTGCTTAACAAACCTTAAGACTAAATAAAAAAAATAAAAATTGATATTTTGTGAACAAAAGCATTGTAATGTTTACCGATACTCTGCCAAATTTTGTTAACACATGCTTACTAATTTAAAAGTTATAGCATCAAAACTATTACAAGCACAAAATGGTTACGAGGTCAGTCCCAGGGACCGAGCCCGTACTGAAAGAGTTAATACACAAAATCTGTGTTAGAATATACAAAGATAATTTCGTGAATCCACCAATGTAGGAAGATAAAAATAGAAAAAAAACAATAAAATAAATTACAAATAAACAACATTGGGAAAGCCCAAATGTGTAGGAAGATCATAATGGAAAATAATTTGTTTGTTTATAGTTAAGCACAAAGTTACACAATGGGCTGTCTGTGAAAACCTGGTTTCTAGCATTGTAAATCTGCAGACATACCGCTGTGCAACTGGGGGCAATGGAAAAAAAAAGATAAATTACAAATAAACAACACCAGGAAACCCCGGATGTAGGAAGACCATAATGGAAAAGAAAACAAGATAAATTACAAATAAACAATAACAGGAAATCCCATAGGTAGGAAGCTCATAATGGAAAATCAAACAATAAGTTACAGATAACAAAATACCATATACATAGGATTATCATAATCAAAAACAAAACAAAGATAAATTACAAATAATCAATATGATAAAACTTCTTATGTAGGAACATCATAATGGAAAAGAAGAATGAAGATAAATTACAAATAAACAACACCAGGAACCCCATAAGTAGGAAGATCATAATGGAAAACCAAACAAAGATAAATTTCAGATAAACAACACATGAAAACCTGTATGTAGAAGGATAAAAGAAATTTGAATTATATCTTTGAAATGTCATAAATAAAACTGTGAGAATGAGGGAAATTTCCCATGTGGATAGATTGAAACTAGCAGACTGCAAGTTAACAAAAAATTGCAAAATCATGAGGAAAAGTCAAACACATATAAGATTACCGAGCAAAAAATTTAATATCCCGAATAACAAGTAAATTTTGCAAGATGTTTATAATTATGAATCTGATAAGGAAGGTTCAAAAGAAACAAATACTTACCGAATAGTGGAGTTGCTGGTTGCAGCTAATAAAGTGGTACTAGGAGCAGGCATTGCTGATAGAACAGTCACAGGAGTTGCTTTACTAGAATCCAACTGTTTTAAGCAGGTTCCTACAAAAGGGTCCCAAATCTAACAGAGAAATACATAGACTAATCAATTTTGAGATGTCACCAATAAATACAGTCATAATAAGAGCAGACCTAAAAACATTTTTTTTTTTGTTTTCATTCAGACATGACCGGTCATGACGCTATGTATTTTTGTCAGATAATATGAAAATTGAGAGAACAAAATAAAACTGCAACACATTAAACTTATTGAGTATGTATTTATAATAATCAGATATAAGAGATTATACAGAGGAAAAAAAGCAGTTACTTCATTTGAAATGTTTTGTGTAAAATTAGATAAATAATGCCAGTTACATGTGTAGAGCTTCAACCTGTAGAGAAAAGAAGGCTCAGGGTATCATATTAAAAATTATGACTGGTTTCCATTACTTACACAAATGATAATTTCAGTTTTCAGGCAAAGAGGATGAGTTCATTTCAGATTTCCAAATTTAATTTTTATATGTCTAACTTAGTCTTTCAGGTTAGAAGTTAGAATAGGATTAAATAAAGCCAATAAATATGAACTTACATAACTCAAGAAATCATAAATTAAACCTCTCTATACTTCACTACATGAATACAGTCCATGTCACCAGGTCGGGTCACATTACATCTAATGACCGTGCATCTTGACAATAGCCCTACAGTTAGCACAGTTTCTATTGCAAAAAGCTTCATCATTAGGCTGTCATGTTCAAAATTCACCACTTCTTCCGGCAAGGATCACAGTTTTCCAGTGTCCATTTCAGCAGTCCATTCACACAGAAATCCATGGGAACTGCATCCGACAAATTGAAAAGTACGTTTTCACATGGAATAGCAAGAATAACAGTTTCATTCTCCAGCTGCTTGAATTGTGTGACAGTTGAATGCAGGGTAAGACTGGAAGCTTTATTTTGGTGTACCCATCATGTTGGCTTCTTTTTCCACTCAGATATCCTTCTTGATTATGGTGTACTGTTGTCTGGGACATGTGGATGACATCTGTCACTGACCTGTATTTGTGGATTCTAACCTGTTACAAGATAATGCATTTTGCTTACCAAGGCTGGAGTACAACTTGTTACAGGTCTCATTCTGAATTGTCCTGGTGGCCCAAATTGATCCATATTCCTTTATTTTCCAATGCCAATATATACAGCGGATATCCCCATCTTTGAAATTCTAATTCCCCGATTTAGATAAATCTGCACGATCTGAATGTACGAATATTTTGCATTGAAAATAGCTTTCTAAAAGCGATCAAATTTTTGGTGGCACTGTAATATATAAGAGAAGCCAAACAAAGTAAAAATACAGTTCTGATACATGCCATTCCACCATAACTTTATATCAGCTTTGGTTGTCATGTGATTTACTAATTTGCATATTCAACATTATTTTGATATAAAAAAACTCAACCTTGTATATCTTTATTCATAAAAGTTCATTTTTAATACAAGTTTCTGAACTCGGGTACCAATTTTACATGGATGTGTCCACTCTTGAATTCTGTTAATTTTGCCCCTAAAAACTGTATCACCTTTTATAAGTCTATGCCTACAATTTTTCTATCTTACCATCTGGCCTGCTTGCTGGATAACTCATTGGGCAAAGCTCAGCAAATTTTCAAGCATGTTGATCAAATAATGATGACACACAAGTTGGAAACTGGTTTCCTCATTTTTTCTTTTTCTTTTGTAATGGGACTTGCCTGTTGACATGGCATTCTGAGATGTTCTGCTAGAATGTAGGATTGAGTGAAAATCCAGGCAGTTGCTTCTTGCTTGAATTTTGGTTTTATTTTTGCTTAATGAAGTTGTACACTTTTCTGCAACATTAAATTTTTTTTTCTCCCATTGTCTTAGTTACAGAAATTTATGTACCATACTTTGTGTCACTTTCTTTATTTCAAGTTGAGATGATTTTCTTACAGCTCTGCATCACAAATCTTGAAAACTTAAACTTCCCATTTTGAAATCTAATAACATGCCTGCTGGTTTTGAATGTAACTTAGAATACCAAAAATTCAACTATTAGGAATTAACTGTTTTTGTGGAGCTTAGGCCAGACAAGTTCTTCCATTTTTCATTTGAATTCTTTTGATTTTACACGTTTTGGATTTTATTAGAGTTGAAAAGGTCTTTAATGACTTTGAAAAGGAAACAGCTATTGGGGTTGAACTACAGCCTGTGAATGTAATACGGTCTAGGAAATGTTTTCTCCTGGATATGGGTATTTTGTTGCAAGTCCAAAGGGCCATGTCTGTATTTTCAATTTGGTCTTATGGTCTTCCAAGCTACTTATTCAACTGATTGTCTTGCATTTACTTCAAACCTGTGCAAGAGGATGACTGTAATTTGCAATCATCAAGGCAACAATAAACCTAGCTGTTGAGAGATCAATTGAGACAGCCTCTACAGAACTCACACATAATCACCAACCAGTACAACTGATCTTCAATACTGGCTGTAGTCACTAGTAACCAGAAAATGGGCTGAAATACATTTAAATAGATCAGTAATTATTTTGCTTGTAAACTGAAGGTCTCTGCCACTTCTTTAAGAGACTCATCTCTCACCTATGTCAAACTTTCAAAGTTGAAAAACATGACTGAGCAGTCAGCCAGATTAGTTCTGCTAATCTGAAATGAGATCTGTGAATCTATTTAAATGCTGAGACTTCCACACTGAAAAGAACTGTTGACTTTCTGGGAAATGGTGCCTGAACCATTAGTAGAGCAGAGGAGACACAAGCCTCAGCTTTCACTGCCACAATCCAAAGATAGTTAAAATAAGCAGATTAACTTATTAATTTTTGTGGCATGGCAAAATATGACTTAGCTTATGTCTTTAAGCATTTCAGTTTTTGTGATTGGCTGAAAAAACTAAAGTCAGAAACAAACAATGCAATAGCTGATTTTGGGCCTCAATTAATCAATGCTTGACACTAAGACATTTGAGAGAGAAGCAATACAGTGTACAGGATAAAGTTATGACCAATTTATATAAAAAGATTTAACTCAGTGACAAATAAAGAAAAGAAAAGCAATATGGCAAAATTATGCAATTTGAGAAGTTAAAAAAGTATCTATTAAAAATTTACAAAACTGGCAGGTACATAGCAGAAGCTATTATCAGCAGAAAGTATAAATCAATCAAATGCAATAAATGTTAAAGAATACAACTAATTTTATATCATATATAAAAAATAACTGTCTAGTTGTTCTTTCAGACACTAGGTTTTTTTACTACCATTACTTAAGAAATTTGTAAAGGTATAAATTCAAAATAATTTGTGTATTTGTAAATATTCACATATTATTGAATGAAAGTTAATAATAAAAATCCAATAAAATCTATTTATTATCAATCTTAATTTTAGCTAAAATTAAGTTAATCACAAAATGTAACGTACATGAACTGTACTGTCACAGGAGCCCACAAGTCGAAGTGACTCCAAGAAAGTAACACTAAATACAGACTTTTTGTGATGAAGGTAGGTCCACTGACATGAAGATAATGTGTTTCCATCTCCACAACTTCGTAATGCCCATAATTTTACTGTTTTATCTTTGCTCCCAGTGAGAAAAGAATTCTCATTATCCAAGATTTCAATGGCTCGAACTCCACCTGTGTGACCTAGGGGATATATTTCATGGTTTTATATCAATGTCAAGGTTAATTGCTTGATCAATGTTTGAAATACACAAAGACAAGATAGAACACATGCATATAACAGATACTTACAACATGTGCTATAATACTAATTTGTTTACACGATACTTACAAGAAACTTTTATCCATCTAATTAAATGATAAATCTTTTTCAGTACTTTCTACTATCTTACTTATTTTCTAATATTCTCATAGTGATTTAGTGTACAAAATGAAAATTATTAATTTTACAAAATAAAGTCAAAAGCCACAAAATTTAAATTTATTTGAAAGTGAAAACAATTGTACAATTACTGGTTACCTGTGAAAGCCTGTAATTTAATTTGTTTAAAGTTGAACTTAAAATCTTTGTCACTACGTCCAATTTCATGTTCCCAATAAGCTAGCCAATTTCCTTTCAGGTGTCGTTGATTGTTGTCCATTTTTCTAGAGGGGAGGAGGAGAAACAAACAAAAAGACAAAGCTTAACACTGACAGAACATCAATAATTTACTTATAAAAAATATTAGAAATTCAAATGAGATATGGCTTCCAGCACAGTGTAAGGTGGTGCCTTATACAAGAAATTCCAAAACCAAAGTCATACATACGATGAACAGTAGTTAGATTTGGACATTTTTAATTTCTTAATCTTCTATAGATGGTTTCAAAAATATTTCTGTGTATTTATGAAGTTTAATCTTTTACAGTCCCCCTTGAGGGCAAATTACATAATAGTTATGTCTAAACTTTTCAATTCACCTATAAAATAAAACAATAAATAAAATGTTCAGATTTAGAATATTTACTTGATATACATTTTATTAACAATTTGTTTTAGAAATGAATAATTAAAAGCAATTCAAACCTTAATTCTGATCTCACATTCAAACACAAAAAGTAACAAGGTATATACCTTGTTTAAAGAGCACATAATGTCTTTTGGACACTAATTACACATGTAGATTACCACACAGCATGTACAGAGCATGAGAAAATGTTTGATGTTGTACAATTGTATATTTATTATATTTTTGATAATTGGTTGAAAACTGTTTATTCTTATAATCATTATATATACATTTATTATAATTATTATATTATCAAATTATCAGAGCATATAAAGGAAAAAAAATTATAGAAACTCAACAATTACTTCATAATCATACTAATGTCAAATTTTGGCATCTCTGCAGTCCTTGTATTCTCTGACATGGCTGAAGTAACTAGTTTTTCTCCTCCCACTACCAGATGGCTCTCTTCACCAAGCTGAATGTCAATACGATTTCCAACAATAGCAACATTTTTGCCAAACTCTCCACTTGCTATACCTTCCTCCAGGCCTACAAGAAAAAAAAACATGAAAGTTATAATTTTCCTATATGGTATGTTCTGCTTTTCAAAATAGGTTTTGTGATCTCCCATTGCACTGTCTTGGGTGTAGCAGTCTCTCCAGATTCTCCAACACACTTCTTCCCCCCTTTCTTCCAGTGGAGTACGGGAGTCCTTACCACTTACCAGTTCCAAGCTGCTGGGGCGGTTGACCATAGAGGCAACCTGCTGAATGGGTTCCACAAAGAAGGCTATAACCATTCAGTTCAGAGTAGGGTGGTGGTGTTCTGCCAGTGTAGAAGGAGTTACAAAATCCTCCAGATGAGTGACATGCCCGGAGTGAGATGCCTAAATGCAGTTCACCACTCCTACCCTCATGTGGGTGTCAGTTTCCAGCAAATGAGGTTTTAGAGATCGAGTGAACCCATCACATAAGCCTTCACTCAGGTTTCAGGTTGTCCATCTTCCTCCCTTGACTGTCTTCTGTGTTGTTGGTCGCAGCATGTCTACGTGGTCTATTTATGCTTCTGTCCTGGGCATTCCCTCATTCTCAGAATTACGAGGATGTTACAGACTTGTGCACATTTCAGTCTGGTTTCGCAGTTGCGGGGGTTGATTGCATGCTATGGACTCCCCCTTGGATACCAGATGACACATTGCTGGGTCCCTAACTCAATACTCATCTCATGATGTTTCCTGGAGTTTATATTATATGTACATTCACGACTCTATGGCTTGAGGTGAATACAGTATGATCCTCATCCTACCCTAACATGGATGTCGGTACCCAATGAGTGAGGTTTTGGATGTAGTTGACTTACGGAGTATGGTCCAACGTGCCCTAGCACTATACACCATGGGGGGCATCTTCCATTACCCACTGTCATCATGTGGGATTGAGTGTATCTGTTTCTCTGATTGGGATCACATTACTGACCTATCCTCTCCCCCTCGTGCATGTGCTCCCTTCATATTCAGCCATGTTTTGATCCCATCTGTTCATGCCGAAGAGATACCTGGTTCATAAGTGGTGTGGTGCCCCTCCTCAGATAGTCTTTTCTGTTTCTCTCATTCCCAGTTTTGTCCTTCGGATGTTTTCGGGGGATAAGCCTGTTCTTTCCTCGCATAGGTCCGTTCTCCTTTTCAATGTGGGATTCAAGCTAATCTTGTGAGTGGAGGGAAAGTACTGTATTGGAAGTTATAATTTTCATATATGAAAACGTATTTCCGATAGGTACTTCCCTTCACTTACACTTCCCACCCTTCCTCCCCACTATCTTCCGGTGCTCACGTCTTCTGCCAAACTTTAAGGTGATAGTTCGGTAGTGGTGCGTGGAGGGAGTCACATGTGTCACATGATAGTAGTGCTCTCCTATTGGTGGAAAGTCGATGCATGATGATTTGCATGAGAGACATGTTGGAACTTTGGATTCCAACAGAGGGATGTGGAAAGCTCGTGGCATGCATTTTGAAAAAAAGTTCACATATAGAGGGCAGTACAAAACTGGAAAAGCTAATCTTGTGAAAGGGGAGAAGGTACCGTAACGGAAATCAAAATTCACTATTTAAGATTCCACTACTTTAAATTACTACCCATATATATGTATAAAAACTAACCGCCCAATCAACTGAACACCTCACAAGGTTAGAAAAAAAAAAAAAGAGGCTAAATTTACTTATAAAATACACGAGTTCTTTCATAAAAAAACTTTAGGTCTGACAACAGCTTGATAAGGAACTAATGGAATATGTATTTATTAACTATTTATCAACGTAGAATTTCACACATTCAGATTAAATCATATGACACTAAAAACTTAATCAATATATAGTTAGAACAAAATTGAAATACTGGTAGAAAATCATGAAAAACAGCAGTGAACATCTACCTAAAGAGGGCATCCTCTGATGACTCTTTGACAACTTTTCTGTCTCATCGGAGGAATGAAGACCTGATGCTTCATTGGATATTTCATTGTCGTATGTCATACAAAGGTGCCGGATCAACTCATCATTTTTCAAGGTCTGTTCCATATGGATTCTGCAATATTTAAACAAGTATAAGTTGATTAAATGAACCAGCTACATACTTCAATGGATTTATCAAGTCTGTATAAGCTCAATTTAAAAATTACCATTGTTAATAGAAAATTAATCATTCTTATAAAAAAACAATAATACTGTAGGAGTGAGCATTTTTAAAAGCAAGTTGAGAATCTAAACTTGTATTCAAGCAAAAATGGAATCAAATTTTACTCATATCTATAAATAATCAAAATATTTTACACTACGTTATTTTTAAAGAAAGAAGCATACAGAGTAAGTTAAACATACTTACCCTCCAGCTAACTTACAAAATGGAATGTATGAGAGATATGCTAATTCAGGCGTGAAGACTTGTTTAATTTCTTCTAAGGCTTTTGCTCGGATTGGATTTGAGGGAGAAGACTTTTCCCCTTTAGTGTTTGGTGTCTGAAGATTTAAAGTGTCACTTGTGGTTGGTTTTTCTTCTAATTTCAAGAGAAATTTCAAAAATAATCACTATGTTAAAAAAGGAAAATGCATATATATATAAAAAAAACAATTATCAAAATCATGTTCTATACAGATGTTTTAGAAAGTTCTACAAGAACATACAATGCCTTGCCAATTTTGTGCAGTAAAATAAAAAATTGGACACATCTAATTTAAGTGAAAGACTAAGCATTTGGTGTCAAGAGATCAAAGTGAGATGAAAAAGAAGCTTGAGGTTATAGAATATTTAAAAATCTTTCCCATAAATTTTTTATTTATTAACAAAAATCTTTCAATATATAGCTTTTATTTAAAGTGTCCCATTTTTACCTTTTGTTGGTGGTGATAAGCTATCAATGGATGTTTTACTTCCAATTATCAAGTTACTGATGCGAACAGGAGTGCCAATTGTATATTCATTGGTTTGTGAATTTTTCTTGATCTCCAGGTAGTCTTCAGCAGACTGAGGAGTACCTCCTACAACCACATGATATAGAATAATTTTCAAAACTTTCATGACTGACTTTAAGATAAATGAAAATTTTAGATTAACTTTAAAATTCGTACAACTTTTAAAACATTTACAACAAAAACGTTCTGATTTCTGGTAAATTCTCCATATATTAACATTTAAAATGGGAACTTTGAAGTCTTCTAAAAATATTTTAGTATACTTTTAACCACAAAGTTATATGGTAGTAAACTTTATTCGGGTCAAGCAAAGTTTTTGAAAGAGAGATTGTCACTGAAAATAACTTGTTTAAAGTGACTTCACAGTCATGAAAGTATTTATCTTGAAGCTGATAACTCTGTGGTAGTAACTGAAGTATTTTCACCAGTACTTAGTATTAAAAAAAAAGCATCATCACATAAAATGGTTGCATTGTTGCAGCTCTATTATTCTAAAAATCCTGTTTATCTTATCATGTAGTTTCATTTAAGAGAGGAAATTTTGGTGTAGTTACTATAATGTGGTCCAATGCCTTCTTATCATGAACAAACAAAGCAACTGAAGTGAAGTGAAAGAAATATAATTTTATCATGTTTAAGAATCTATTTATATTTAAGATCAATTCAATATACAGCCATGATTTCTGGAAAGTACACCTAAAAATTAACTATGGATTTGTAATAAGCTCATCTTATTTACTTTCCTGAGAAATATAAACTAAAAAGGCTTCATCATTCCTGAAGATCAATTAATTTCTTAAATTACAGTTAGTGTTAAACATAGATGAAAACATGCAATACAACTTGAATTGATTTATTAAACTCTGGATTTATTAATACTGTAAATTCAACAAAGACTTATAAAAAACATTCAATAATTACCAAAGAGAAAAGTATTTGAGGTTGACAGCTCAAGTTTATCATTATTTTCATGGTTTTCATAAGCTCGATCAAATGAAGCAAAAAACCTTTGGAGTACTAATGACAAATATTTACGGGTCATCTCGAATCCTATACGAAGTCCAAGCATATATAGACTGTCTATGAGCTTATGTGTGACAATGGTTCTAGATTGAACACCTCGAGGAAAAGTGATTCGAAGAGAAGAAACTAGTCGAACTACAGGATAAATGATGTCTTTAATGATAACATCCTGTTAAAAAACAAAAGCAGAAAAAAAAAATCATTGAAAAATGCAGTTCATGCCTCAAAAAAGTTAAAACAAATATTAGTAGTTCTCATTTTACTGTAGATTTATTTTAATTCCTGCTCTACAGTTCAATATTTACAATGCACTTAAAAAAAAAAAAAATTAATGTATTCTGACCAAAAGAAAACTAGCTGAAAACCATTATAATGGAAGATGTTCTTATGGACTTCTACTAACTCCGAGGATGAATTTCCCTGTAATTATAAGTGACTCTCTCTCTCTTGCGAGAGCAAAGACTGGGACCAAGCATTATTAATTCTCTTTACAACTCAGATCAAAACACATGGTAGTGTGTTGTGTGGCCAAAACAACCTGCAGGATACATTGTGTGTTATGAACAGGAGTGATGGTTTTCCACTTTCTGTAGTTCAGACTATGGTAATCCAAACTATAACATATTTTTCAGTGGATGTGTTCTACTGAACCCTTACTTTACATACCAAATTTCAAGGCAATCCACTATGAAATACACAAAATATAAAATCTCCAATATCGATTGAATTTCATACTTTTTTCTTTTCTTCGCATCAAAGTACAAAAACTTTATTTGATAGAAAAACATACTTAACTTTCATGGATTTTTTCAAATTTGGTACACTGATAGATACTTATAATCTATAATTGTCAAATTTGGTCTAAATATAAGGCACATGTGCAAAGTTATTCAACAAAATCCATTCGATTGTGACCAAAATTTTTGCACATGCCTACGCAAAACATCACGTGAGCTATCAGTCTAATAGTTTTACTTCAACTTCACCTAAGAGTAGAGGTGAACTGTTTTTAGTTTTTTTGTCATTCAGATCAAAGACAGCTGATTTATAGCAGCAAAATTACAAGGTGAAAGCATGTGCAGATACATAGTATTGGCTAGGCCAAGCAAACTAGATTAGCAATTTCCAACTGATGTTTCCAAAGGTATCATATGAGTAGATGGTTATTATTCATTATTTATTGCCAACTTTTAAGCACAAGTTTACTAAATTTATCATTTTTCCTACACTGAAGATTGCTTTACAATAGACACTTACCTTTCTCACATAAAAGCTTTTCCCGATCTTCATCTGCCCTTTAATGCATTAAAAAAAATGTATTCTTGTTTGACTCACTAGCCTTTATACTCCCTTGGTTCAAGCTGATCATTTAGCATGCATAGCACATGCAATGATCATCCACCAATAGGAGCATGAAACACACTCCTGGAGCAGCTGGATCCCTCTGGATTACATTTTAAGTACTTCACTTTCTCGATTGGCACCATTCAACTTGGACATATTTCTTGCTTAATTTCAGTCTTTAATACTGACTACACATGATTTTTTTTAATGTGTGTGCTTTCATTCTATCTTGCATTATGTTGGGATATGGATTTTAATTCTCTGTTTCACACACATTGCATTTTATACAATTCCTCAACTCAACCATAAGGACAGGGATTTCTCTTGTAGCTGGTATTATGAGCAGGAAAAGAACAAAATCCACTCAACTGTAAGAGCAGGGAAGAAAACCACGTTCACCCAGAATTATGAGTAGGATGTGGAACATCTGCCCAATCATAGGAACAGAGTATCATATGTCCCACAACTGGCATTAAAAGGTAGCCTAAGTTCCCTGAGCAGGGAAAATTCACCCTGTTACCAAAATTGCCAAGATTGGGGGGAGGGGACCTCCTTGAACAGTAACCTAAGAAGGAGAAGGTTCCCAGCTTTGCCCTCCTCTCAAAAGAGTGCAGAGAGAAATATTGTTACTACATGTATGCAACAGTCCCTAAAAAGCTTCCATGGTCCACCACCCCAACAGCTAGGAACTGGAAAGTGGTAAAGACTCCCAAACTCCACTTGAGGAAGGTAGAGTAAAAGGCAGAGGGGAGTACAGAGGAACGACACACCAGAGAGAATGCAATGGGTGACTACAAAACCCTATTCTGAAAAGCAGACTGTTCCCAATTTATTCAATTGAGGGAGCAGCAGGGATGGGCAGAAATCCCCTTCTGCTATAATCATGATAGTCCATGAGTGGCAGTCTGGAAAGTACGGAATAGATATATAGATATATATACGAGACACACACACCATTAGGTAAGCTGCTAGTGGTCTTGCAGAACATCTGATCTTAACAGTGTGTGTTATAACCTTAAAAGTAACTGACCAAGCAACACTCACCACCAAGCTGGATCTGAATATGTAACAAAGACATAAGAATAATACAAGTATTAAATAACTGCTAGCAAGAAAGAACAAATTAAATGGAGAAAAATTGGTGCCTTGCATTAAAAAAAAAAGCAAAATGTTCCGAACTTTACCAAGATGAGGATTATAAGTCATATTTAACAATGTTTAAGAAAGAATAATTCAGAGCAGAGTTTCCCAAACTACGGGTCGCGACCCACTGTTGGGTCACAAGCGGAATGTTAGTGGGTCATAAAAAGTTATACTAGAATTACGCATTAGCTTCTATTAAACGCTGTCTGTCAAGATAGTTCAAGACTCAGGCTTTCATTGCCAGGCTGTTGTTGTATCAAGCAGTATGTTAGTTTTGACGAGCTTAACGAATCAGGGTTGATCATGCTCTACAATTTAATCATTGTCATCGTAAAAAGGAATCAATT